GTGATAACCAGGATCAAGTTATCACATTATCCACCCCTTAAAAGAATTCCGTCCCGGAATTCCTTTAATCGAAAAGCCATGGATATTCTGATTTCATCTTGGATTTTAATTTCCATGTTGCTTCTGGTCCTTTGTGAAACTTCCACCGAATTTTAACCAGATTTATTTCTTTGTTTCTCAACACCCTGATCTTTCTGTCGATTACGGCTTCCGGTGTTTCTACAAAATTCAACTTACTGTCTAATTGAATCTCTGGTAACGGTATAGCTAAATTCGGATCAGCCAAACATTTTCGCAAATTCGACACGTGGAAAGTGTTGTGAATTAAACTCAACTCTTCTGGCAGCTCTAACTGATATGCTACTGGCCCAATTCGTTTACATATTCTGAACGGCCCCACATATCTCGGACTGAGCTTCCCTTTCTTTCCAAATCTGATGACACCCTTCCATGGTGAAACTTTCAACATCACAAAATCACCTATACTAAACTCAATTGGCTTTCGACGATTATCTACATAACTTTTCTGGCGATCTTGTGCTGTTTTTATTCTTTCACGAATCTGTTCAATCTTTTCAGAAGTTTCTTGAACAATTTCAGGACCTGTCAGCTGTTTTTCACCCACCTCATTCCAACACAATGGCGTTCGACATTTACGTTTATACAACACTTCATACGGTGCCGCTTGGGTGCTGGAATGGTAACTATTGTTATATGCAAACTCTATTAATGGCAAGTGATCTTCCCATGATCCCCCGAAATCAATAATACAACTTCTCAACATATCTTCGAGAGTTTGAATAGTTCTTTCACTCTGCCCATCAGTCTGCTAATGATAAGCTGTACTTAATCGGATTTCAGATCCCAAAGCTTTCTGTAATCTTCCCCAGAACTTTGAAGTAAATCGACTATCTCTATCAGAGATAATAGACAAGGGAACACCGTGTCTGGTAACAATTTCTTTGATGTAAATCTGCGCTAGCTTTTCTAAAGAGTATTTCTCTCTTATTGGTAGAAAATGAGCAGATTTAGACAAACGATCCACAATTACCCAAATTGCGTCATACCCCTTTGGAGTTCGTGGTAACTTCATAACAAAATCCATGGTGATGTGATCCCATTTCCATATAGGTATTTCCAAAGATTGAAGGCTTCCATAAGGCTTCTGATGTTCAATCTTGACTTGTAAACATGTCAGACACTGTTCCACATACCGAGTTATAGCTCTTTTCAATCCTGGCCACCAATAAAAGGGTTTCAAATCTCTATACATCTTATTGGTGCCTGGATGGATAGAGTATCGGGATTTATGACTTTTATTTAATATCATATTTCGGATATCTCCAAAATATGGTACCCAAATTCACCCTTGAAAACACATAATTCATGTCATTTGGTTCCAAGGTTGAAATCATTTTACCCAACCTTTCTGATTTGATATGATCTTCTTTCATAGCTTCCTTCTGACATCTCAAAACTTCTTCATGAATATCAGGGACTAAACTTATTCTCATTGCCACTGTTTTAATAGTTCCGCTCTTTTCTTTTCTACTCAAAGCGTCAGCTACCACGTTGGCTTTTCCTGGGTGGTAAAGGATTTCACAGTCATTGTGAAGTCTAGAAATCATACAAACATGATATGATCTTCAAGAATCAAGATGAACATAAAAGTAAAGAGAATATTATCAAAGATTGATTAGATTGAGAGAGAGAAATTTACAGCTCTAATCTTGATTACAATTCTGCTAATGACTTTGTAATGACAATTACAAAGGAAAAATACTATTTACACTAGGAATAGTAAAACTACACTATTACAAAATAAAGTTATTCTAAGGAGAAACTTGAATACAACTTTAACGCTCTAACTTGAACCCAACATTCTCCCCCTTTGGATTCAAGTTTGGACTCTTGTGAATTTCGTTTTGCGCAGTCCAAGAATCTTCTCCAATCTTCTTAGAGCATTCCTATATTGGATCTTCTCCTCGAGCAAGTTTATCGCATTGATCAGCAAGTATCTTTCCTTGGAACTCATCCGTTCGGATTCAGCAGCTTTATCGTTCATCACCCTCTTCAAGTCAAGTGTCCTTCTCACTAATTTGATCGTACGGTCAGAATACTTATTCAACTCGCTAAACCTCATGAACTTCTTTACTTGTAGTTGAGCAAAATAGACGACCCCGAACTCTGGGCTTTCAAGAACCATATACACTGGATAGCCTTCAATGTCTTCTAGGTCATGATTCGGTCTTTTAAGATTGATGATTCACTGATTGTCTTCAAGGCCCATCTGTACATCAATGACCATTGCCAGTTTCACATGACATCATATAAATCTCTTGATTGCTTCAAGAGCAACCAATTCTCCTTCTTTTCTGATCGTCATGTTTTTTAGTTCAAAATACATATATTCAAGGTCATCCAAGTATAAGTTCGAGAAGTCTGCTTCGCTGAATCTCCAAAT